ATTCAAAAACAGTAGAAAGAAATCTCACAATTTTACTAATAGCAAAAATATCACATTTATTTTTAATAGTTTTATTTCTAAAATTTTCTAACAATAGACAAGAAAAATAAATAAATAAATAAATTTCTAAGAATTTACAGCATTTAAAATTTATAATATTATAATTTTATTAAAAATATTATTTTTCAAAATAACGAGGTCAGTTGCACATAAAATTTATCGCCCTTAAAATTCATGATAATAAGCAGAAATAATTATTTCATTTCATTTTTAAGAAGAACATATTATTTTTCAAGATAATGAAGTCACTTACCTAAAATATTTGAGAGGGAGCTTCCGATAAAAATTCGGCTAGAGAGAGAGATCTCAAAATTTTTTGGGTGGGAGTCTTCGCCTCTCGTATTTAAATTCTTAAGATACTATATTATATTCTTTTATTAAATTACACCTCACACATGAGGTGTAACCGTTAAATTACACTTTAAACGCTTAAAGCCCATGTCCTTTAGTGGACGTGGCAAGAGCAAGGCAACAAAAGCTTTTTGAAAATAGTGATGGCCCCTAAGGACCATCATGCTCATACGAATCATTACTTATTAAAAGTTTCCTTCTTTTTTTTTTTTTTTTTGGAATTTTAGAATTATTACATGACCTCTACAGCTATCGATGCATCCGTATGCCAATTACACCCTAACTTCAATGTTATGGAATCCAATATTTATATGCAATAATAATTGTTTTTCTCAAACATGTTAATATCATATTTCAACACAACCAAAGGCTAAAAGAAGATTACAGTTGCATTAAGACATTGACATCTAATTCATTGTTTTTTCTTTTATTAGATCTCATGTATATGTAAACAACTATTTAATATTTCATTTATGAAACTGCTATTCAAATTCATTGCATTTTTTATTATGTGAACTCATTTATATGTCAACAACTACTTAATATTTCATTCATGAAATTGTTTTTCCTACTATTCTCTTATATCTTTTAACAAGTGAAAACTATGCACATATTCAATTTTTTTAAAAAAATATTCCTGTAGTAAAATGAAAAAATGATGCATACATACCTGATCACACATCGTAAAATCATGTGTTCATTTCACAATAACAATAAATTCATGTGTTACATAATTATATGATTATTTACATGAATGATAATTATGTGCGCAACACACTTAATCCAATTAGTTTAGATCAATTTTCTTTTTCTCAAATTATTTTAATATTTTTCAGTTGCACTAACTCTATAATAAACATCTAAAATTTCATGTTAATCTCAATTAACATGTATGAAAACATAAAAATTAAAAGGGTGTTGTTTGCATAAGGTATCGACCTTATACTATATACGAAAGGTGCACTTCTAAATTTTGTGGATGGCTGTGGTTTCAATGCTAGAAACCTCATGATGGCTTAAAATACATGTTTAGCTCTAATTATGAAATTTATAATTTTAAAATTTCAAAAAAGTGCAAATCCATAAGTATTTGAAAATCTTAAGAATAGACGGTCCATATAACTTGTTACGAGATACACTACTATTAGGACTTTGAATTCATTATTTTTATTTATATCCATGCATCTCAAGATGGAGATGACCAATTATAAGGTTTTCCAACTTTGGATTACTCCTTTCTGTTGGATTTTCGAAGTGTACCTTACTTTTATAGTATAAGGTTACAACCTTACGTAAACTTTTTCCAAATTAAAATACATGTCTTCATTTTCTTTCCCTCATGGTAAGGGGTGGCAATGGACTTGGACCCGACCCGGGACCTGACGATCGGAACTGACCCGGTTCTGTGTATGGATCCAAAAATTGGAATCGACAGGTTGAAGTATGGGTCCAAATCTTGGACCTGAACATTATTTGGGTATAGGTTTGGGCCCGGGTCAATGTTGTCCCAACCTGGACCCGACTTGAATAGTGTTAATATTTAAATAATTTTTAATAATTAAAATTTTAATATTTAAATAAATACAATTTTGTATTTTTAATTATAATATTTAAATAATACATGTATATATTTAACATAATATGTAAATATATTTGAATATGTATATTTTTTTTTAGTTTTGGGTCGGGTCCAAGTGGAGTCCAGGTCGGAGTCCGGGTCCTATAACTTCCGATCCGATGGGGTCTGGGTTCGAGTCCCATTAAGTTTTTTCGAGTTCAGTCGACCGAACCTTACCCAACCCACCTCCATACCGATCCCATGTAAGCATGCCTGCCCTAAAATATATTTTCGAAAAACTTTACCACTATTTCTACTAAAATTTAATGGGTGTGGTTTTTATAAGGTTGCAACCTTAAACAATCCAATCAAGGCGCACATCCAAATTTTATCATAACGTCTAATTTTGTTGTAAAAAATTCTTAAGATTATCTTAAAATCTATTTTCATATTTAATTATAAAATTTTAAACTCCAAAAATGGTTAAAATCAAGTAGATCTATAAACTTATCAAAATATTGAAAATGGTAAGTGTGGATAATGTGTTGTAAGATGCACCATTTATGGTACTCCAAAACTTTTTTTTTTAATATGCATACATCTCAATGTCGAGATGATCAATTAGAGGGTTTTTCAACATTAAAACAACCTTTCTGATAGATTTTTGAGGTGCATACGTAATTCTACATTTTAAGGTTGCAACCTTATATAAATTTTTTCCAAATTTAATTCAATGTTTTAAAATGAGGATAAGTGGGATAAATATTTCACCCACAATATTGTGTCGAATCACTGGATCGGTGATTTGAATCAAATCTAAATCGACGATCCAAGAACTATTAAAAAATAAAATAAAAATGGGGATTTACGGGTGGGGATCAAAAGCGGGACAAAAAGATATTAAACAAGCTTAAAAAAAGAAAAAAACAAAATAAAAGGGGAAGTTATAGGCGGAGCCGTCTTGAAACTTTTACCATGTCAAAAACCACTTCAGCATTAATACAAGGAGGTTGTAACTACTTATAACCTTAGATGTGAATTTTGATAGCTTAAATGTATCACAAAGTTCGAGAAAATTTATTTTGAAATATGAGATTAGTTAATGAAATCAATGCAACTATCTAATTTCACATCTAATGGTCAAAATTAATTGTGACCACCTTGTATCGAAGATAGATAATCTAATTATATATTTTCCCCTTATTAATTTCTATCCAAATCAACTATCCGTACTAAAAACCTCTGCTGGAGCTTCTTATTCTAGAAAACTATACACATAGTAAGAGAGTATGTGCGGTTACATTTGGACTGTTTCTAAGCGACGAGACAGCATATTGTAGAAATGTGGTTTGGCAATAAATATAATTTGATCCTAATTTTTAGAGAATATATAATCTTTAGCACGGAGATCATGAATATAAAAAAAAGAAAAATTTGAAAACTAAAAATAATGCTTATATTAAAAAAAATTTAAGAAAATTGTTTTATGCAAGCTGAACCGCATTTCTACATATGCTCTACAGAAAGTGTAAAGTATCCATCATAAAAAGATGGATGCAAGTAAGTGTTCCATCTAAAAACAATGGAAACTAATGGTCCAAAACTCCAAATATTTTTTTACTAAAATATTATTTTTAGTTTTAAAAATTCATTTATTTTGTCATATTCATGATCTCCATTTCTATATTAGAGCGATTACATGTCCTAAAACCTTAAGTCTTAAAATCCATCTTAAAAATAGATTTATTAATAAGCCCGCATTTCTACGTATGCCGGCTTGGCCGCATAGAAACCGGGTCCAACATTTGGACGGTTAGTTAAAATTGTTTTTTGGATGGTCTTTAAGATGGACCGCATATTGTAGAAATGCTATCCAGCCCGGATGAAAGAATTTTCCTTTACATTTAGACATACATGCCTAGCGATGAAGAGGAAGAGCAGAGAGGCAAATGATATTCATATCTAACCCCGTATTCCCGAAGCCTTAACCTAACCCTAGATTTTCAAAGATAACCCGCCATTAGAACGCCTGGTAGAACTTACTTGAATATTCTGTTTTCCCAAATGAATGATAGTAATAATGGCTAACAGGGAGAACAGAGAGCCAAGCACTGCTCCTCTACCTGATAAATGGTACGACCTAACCTTGGGTTCCTCCTTCAAAGAAGGCTCGACTGCAAAATTCTGTACCCTAAGATGTAAGTAAAACCCTAGAAATGCATTTGATTTTGCCTTTTGTTGCGTACAGACTCATCCACTAAAACAGTGTCCCTGCTTATCCTTTCTCTTCTATTCCATTGTTTCAGTGTTCCTTTGAACTTTCGATTTTTCAGGTGGATATAAAATCCGTCAATCCATCAAAACATGCTTTCCCCCTATTTATTTATTTATCCAACTGGTTTAGTGTCCCTTGATTATTCCAATTTTTTTGGGTTGAAATTAATCGTCATCCATTAATAAAAACCCCCTCATATTCTTTTCCCCCTTTTTGTTGAATTGGTTCGATTTTCCACTGCATTCCCAATGCTCTTTTATATACTTAATATTCATCCAGTAAACCAAGTTTTTTTCCCTCTTCATATCCTATGTTTGGTTTTCCTTTTAATTTCAGTTTTTGCAGGGGAGAGTAATTTTTATCCACTTTTGTCTCCAAATTCCCCATTTTACTGGTTCATTTTCCTTTGAATTTACCCCTACTCCAGTTTCATTTTAGGATTATCCATCATTAGAAGCTTCATTCTTTTTCTTCTGTCTCTTTGTATTAATTTTGTTTGGCTTGATTTCCACTGAATTCTTCGTTGTCACAGATGAATTCAAACCAGCTTCAATCGACAAAAATCAGGCAGGGTCGCTTCACAAGAAAAAGGACAACAGGGTCACAGTAGAGTTTCCGAACAACCAGCTTGGGAAGCCAAATGTCAAATTTGACGGCAGTATTGAAGACTGTAAGGATAACGAGGCAGTGTTGTTCTTCGACGGGCATAGCTTTCGGCTTGAGCGATTGCATCGAGCAGTGAAGCGATTGCGCCATGTTCGCCTGCCTGGAGAGTCTTCTTCCTCTGCAACTGGTGTCAACTCCATTGGAGGAGGAGCTCCTGCACCATTGATAAATAAGAATTTACTACACCCTGTGCCTGTGAGTGTCACTTTTATTTTTCTTTCTTGCATTATCAATGCAACCTCATTATCATTTCAAAAAAATCAATGCAATCACATTATGGTTAATAATTCGCATCATCATCTTCAAAGAGTCTCTAAAATATGACTACCGGTGTCGTTTTTATTATGGGAAAGCATTTGGTCTGCCCAAGGGTAGATCTCAAGAGTATAGGACCTCCCCATTTGGGCGCCATAGGGGATTTATTTCTCCAAATTTCACACATCTTAGTCCTAACAAAGATGATCGTAATAAAAATTGGGGAAAAACACTGGGAAACTAGTTTGTTGTAGGAGAGAGAAAATGCAGTGAATACGGGGATGTCCATTTTAGGAAAAACATTGGCGTTGGATCGAGGCTCTAAGGGGATTCATTTAACACTATATTTTGGGATTTCCAATCATTACCACATGAATAATTTAAAAGAAAAAAAAATGATTTTGAGTTCATAAAGCGTAAGATCTAGCTTCCCATAAAATGGATGGCCTATTGGGTTTTGTGGCCATTGAAAGGCCTTATTATTGGTGAGACCACGTTGATTTGATTGGGAGCCTAATATGGGGAAATGACATCTGGCAGGGAAATGACATCTGGCATGTGAAGCCTACCTGGGTCATAGTGCCCGGAGCAAAGCGCATTTCATTGGATTGGTTTATGGGTGGTCTTTTATGCTTGTAACTATTAGTGTTTCATGACTCTCATCTGACTTGCCCTGAGGTTTGTGAGCTATACCTGTATGGCTCTATGACTATTTTCTAGAGTCACAAAACCCTAATGTAGCCATGGGCATATGGGCTTTTAGCCATGCTATGTTACAATTTGAGTGTTCTTTAGGGGTCATCCTCCATTGAGGTCGGAGATTAATGATTCTAAGTATTCACAGAATATTCAGCATGATTGGCACAGTATATTCAGAATATTCAACACCTGTTCCGATACTTTGAAAAGCTCAGTTGAGATTCTCCAATAATATTGGACTAGTTTGAATACTGGTGGAGAGGGAGATATGAGGAACAAGAGATAATGGAAAATGTTATTTTGTTACGTGGATTAGAGAAGTTGAACCATGGTGTCTATGTGTAGTAAAAATCTCACATGGATCTGTATTTGCAAGTTTGAGACTTGTGGAAATTGCTGAATGCAAGTTGCATTTGAGGGTCTTCTTCCAAAAGCGATGCCATAGGGCAGAAAAAGAACCTCCTGTACCAGAATATTGATCAAGAGGGTATTTGGAGCTTGTCCAATATTTGGAAATGCCAAATGTTGTCTGAAAGTTTCGAGCTTATCTGCACTCACATGCATAAATTTTGGGACATCATAAAACGACATGGCCAAGGAGGTCAATTGCGAGAGCTTTGATGATAAGCTGTTCATTCGTATTTGTTATACTTATTTGACACGAACTGCATATTGGTGCTTTCCAACATGCTATTTTTTTATTTTTATTTTTTTCTATGGGGGGTTTGGGCTGCTCGAAATCTGCCCTCTAATGATGCCATGTTGATTAGATGGAATCCAAAAACAGGTTGATATTCTTGTACTTGTGTAATAATGTTAAAAAATATAGTGATTGTTTTTTTCTACTGTCGTCATTTGTGGTGGCAAAATACCATATCGGGCACACTTCCGATTTCTTTAAGTTAAATAATTTTAACAATATTTGACTTCATCACTCCCTAAACTGAAGTTTCCTTGCACTCCAGCTTCACCTCAAGAATAGGAATCTGGAATATGCACATATAGTTAACCATAAAAACAAAAAAAGGATACACACATATGGCATATGGGGTTGCTAAATAAGTGTCCTTAATATGAGCAACGTGTAATCCCAGAGAAAGAAATTGGCCTTTTCTGGTGGCCAATGTTGTCTTAAAGTTCTTATTTTTTTGGGCTGGTACAACTTCCAAGGCTCGCCATTCACAAAGAGTCATGCGCAGTTATGACCGTTTCATTTGAATTTCTAATGAATTCTTACATGAGCTTCATATATTATTGTTTATGCACTAAATGTTTTATTTCTTTTGTTTGGGATGTGCATATTCATGTTACATACTGATGTCCTACACCTGGGAGTAGGTCCATGTAGATACAAGGAGGTACGAACACAAGATGCTATGGCGCAATCATGACTGAGCCTTTTAGATCTATGTTTTCTATGTGTCTGTCTTCATTATGCTGCTTGTCATGGGAGGATACCTATATGACACACTTCCCCTTCTTACGTGCAATGTTAGGGCTTCTCCTCCTAATATCTTCTCTCAACTCTACTCTACTGCCACTTGCAACTACAGTTGACTATAGTTGGCAATTTCCTCTATAGAGCTTCTATAAATGTATAAATGAACTCTCTCTCTCTCTCTCTCTCTCTCTCTCTCTCTCTCTCCTTTTCATGGTGCAGCTCTGAGAACATGGTGTGGGAGAATTTTACCTTTTCATGGTGCAGCCCTGAGAACATGGTGTGGGAGAATTTTGTCCCGACTTTGCTTACATTTCTATTATTGCATATTAGTAAATTGTTACATCCTTCTACAATACATTGTGTGGAGGAAGCCTTGACCTGACCTTTCTTACTTTATGTTTTTGATCTTCGAAGATGGCGATTGCACCAGTTGCAATTGCTGCCTTCACTACAATTAACACATTTGCTACTTGGAGCTTGGGTAATCAACAACCTCTTTCTGTTCGGAAAGCTTCTAGTTGCAATAGATGCCTCCCTCTGAGTATCTGGAATTGACACTCTGTGACTTATGCTGCAACCTGTTATCTCTCTCTCTCATACATACACACATTTATACATGTGTATCTTTGTGCCCTAAAAATGCTTCTATTCGCCTAGGAATGGGAATATACCTTCCTGACAAAGCCTTTTCAGAAAAAATTTCCTTATAAAGGTAGCTCATGTGTTCTGAGATTCTGAGACTTCAATTTAGCCTCCTCGAGAGGCCTTTCTGGTAGAAATCTGAACTGACAACGATTAGATTGAACCCATTATTTTCGGCAAATTGACCAATTGCACTCGTTGCCCTTGGAATTTTGCAAATATCCCACTATTGCCTACTGTATTAAGTTTTTGTATGTGCAACCATCTTGTCTTTGGACTCTTTCTGGTTGTTTCTTGAAAATCCAAATGAAAATGCAAGGAAAAATGTCATTTGGGTCTACTTTAAAAGTGTAAAGAAGCCCGCCCTCAATTTTGAAATATAGTTTAAAGTGTGTGAGACATTATGATTATGTTATTTTAATTTTTCCTATTGCAGCAACTATCGTTTATTACTTTTTCCTGGTTTCTTTTTTCATTCCACATTACTTTCAAGTTGATTAATTTTGGTTTCCTCGATATTGTGTCACTTAACGTAATTCTTGTTCTTAATTATGTCTTCTATAAATATAACTTTTTTCTTTAGTTTTCCTTTGATGTATCTCCATGCTTTTGTTTGCAGAAAACACCACAGCATATTCAGTTTGTCATTTCATGATGTGTTTTTTGTGCTTATGCCCAAGCATCATTATTACGAGTTGCATAAGAGATTGACACTGAAAGCCAGAATCTGGATAAAGCTAAATTTGGCAGACGTGATCTATAATATGATTGGATTATGCATGCCTTAGCGAATCAAGTGGTTTGGGCAATGTTTTGGTAATTTTAAAGTGGGATTGTTCTTGATTTGATGATGTTATGGATTGTATATAGTTTTTTTCTCTTTATTTTTATTTTATTTTTGTAGCAACTTATCATTGTGATTAGAATTTGGAAGTTAATGTTTCTGTTTCATGGTTGAGCTAAAACTTTTTATTGCATTCCTTGATACAGGTTGCGGTGGAGCGAATAGAAATAGGTGAATCAGAACTCCCAGGTAAACTTAGTTTATGGCTTATGACCTGTAATATGAAGCTCGCATTAATTTTTTTTGTTTGATACTATTAATGCATGTGAATGGGGTTTAGTGATGAAAAGAGAATGCATGTTTTATGAAGTTTTGGTTGATATTCAACAAGGTTTGGTTAATATCTTCCCTCTTGGAACTCTTGTGATATTGGAATATTTTTTTAATTATTGGTTTCTTATTGTTGTTTTGGTCTGCATGCAGTGAAAGAACCCCACACCATTCAAACTGGTTTGGTACTTGATTTGTCTCTCCTGATTAATTCCTTAAATAAGAGCCTTTTTCTTTTAAGTACTACTGTACTATATTCATCAAACAACTAAAATGCAGGGTGCCTTATCAGATGGCATTACATGTTAGACACGCTACTGAAATCCTCAGAATCTCTGTAAGCTTCAGCTAAGATATTTTTCATACAGGTTGCCACTTGATGTAGTTCACTCACCTTTTAAAGACAATATTTAGGATTTGAAAGTCTCAACCTGCACCAGGTTGAAGTGTCAAGGAACTGTGCACCTTAGTCCATCTGAATAATGTGAAGGACTTCTGACTCAAACAATGATATTGCGTTGATAATGGCGAACGTTCTGGGAACTTTCAATGCTATTAAAGGGTCTCTCCTTAATGAGATCTATCAATCGTACCAAGAGGAAGAATCAAGAGACATAAAGAAGGGTGAAAGATGCAGGAGTGTCAAAGCTATGATGAGGCCTCATAACATCCTGAAACAGGAAGAGATTTATTTATATCAAAGATCAAGGGTCGAAGGGATACCCCAGGAAGGGGATAGAAGTACCAGCTTCTTTCATAAATAGCTAGCTAGCTAGCTGCCGTTGCAGGGCTAATACTCTTCTCCAAATCAGGGAATATAGATGGTTCTAGGATTCATGAGGAATCCTCCCCCCTCATCCATTAATAGGGTGATTAGTAGATCTTTTCATAGGCTATTTAAAACTCAAGTTCAGGGTAAATGCAAATTGGCTAGCCACTCCTTTTTTCAACTGCCAAGGCACAAGGCTGAGTGGGCGGAGAGACATTTCTTGAAAGAAAAGGTCTTGCAAGCAGTCAAGGATTTGGGAAGGGACATGGAACCTAATCCAGATAGATTTCATATAGCCATTTTTCAAAAACTATGGGAGGTCATTGCCCTTGTCGTTCTTGCACACTTTGTGTAATTTTACTGTTGGGGTTTGGTGAACAGGAGTCTGAAAGCCATGTTCATTACCCTCATCCCGAAGGTGGAGGAGACCGGAGATTTGAAAGACTTCAGGCAATTAGCTTGCTGAATGTCTTATACAAGATCCTATCCAAGGTACTATTCTCACGGCTACCGTCGGTTTTAGAGTTTTTTTTTGAGAGAAAGTTAACATTGTATTACTGAGATTTTTGTGTACAGGAATTTGTAAGTCCGAGCTCACCCGCTAGGGGTGGATCGGTAAAAAACAGTCAGCGTATCATATACAAAAAAAGGGCTTATAGATTCCACCCGATTTAAGGATTTACATGAAGCTTTCAAAAATTACAAAAATTCAGGAGGCCTAAAATTGCAACTAATACGATATGTTGGAGAGCTATGCCAAAGGTCCTGTGCAAAAAAGGAGTCGGCCCCAGCTTGATCTTGTACTTGCAAACTAGCTCCTCCCTCTTTCGCCAAGTGATCTGCGAAATCGTTGGATGGAGTATTGTTCTCTACCTAGGGTGCTTTTGACAAAGACAAATGCATCATGGACGTAGCTCTTGTGGCCCATGAGATGATCCATATGAGACACCTATCCAAAAAGCCCTGGGCTGATCTTAAAGCTTGTTTGGGACAATGCCTACGGTCACGCAGACTAGGGTGTTCTTGATGAGGTGCAACAACTAATGGGCTTTCACTCTAAGTGGAGATCTTTGATAAAAGGTTGTATCTCATCTTCCTAGTTTTTGGTCATCGTCAACAGGTAACTTACAGGCTGCTTTCCAATGTTTAAAAGACTTTGCTAGGGGTAGCTCCCTCTACCCCTCCTTTTTCGCTATCATGCAAAAAATCTTTAGTGTGGCTATAGCGAAGGTGTATGATTCATTGTTATTTGGATCAGACTTGTGATCGAATCAGTGAGGGCACTGGTCCAGTCAAACCAGTTGGAGACTGGTTCATCTGTTAGATTGGTCACATTATAAAATATATAAAAAAGGATAGATGTAAAAGAATGAAAAAAAGAGAAAAAAATATAAGAGAAAAAAGTATAAGAAGTCATTTTTCCCAAAAAATATCCATGAAAATAAAAACTAAAAGATAGATAAACACCTAATTTTTTACTTCATTATTCACTAGGATTATATAGATGTCCATTTTTTTTAAATACCCAATTCCATTGGTGTCTTATAATAAAAATAAAATAAAATAATAGTGAAAACCTTAAGTACAAAAAACCTAATTTTTATACACAAAATCATGCATATAAGCAAACTAAGCTAAAATCAACAAGAAGACACTAAATCAATATAAAAACGTTTAGATGATTCAAAGATACAATCTAATGCATTGTTTTTTGGAAAAAAGGGTTAAAAAATAATTTCTTGCATAAACCCTAGACAACCAAATTTTTTTTTATATTTTTTGCAAATATAAAACAAGCAATAAAACAACAGGGGATAAAAGACTTATATGGATTTTGATTTAGTGTGGATTGATGGTTGGAATCACATCAGAAAATGGCTGGATTTTCATCTAAAGCAATAGGGATTTCAAATTGCGAGGTCTCTCTTTCTCTCTCTCCAAGCATCTTTTCTAACCCACAAACCCTCCCAAAACTTTAAATGACCAAAGTGCCCCTTACTTCTAAAAGCACCATAAAACCCCGAAAAAATGCTTTTATTTTTTCTTTGACAACAATTAATGGCTTGGGGACTTTTCAACCCCCATGAGGACTGGCCATTCAGTCTTGGACCTGCTGATCTGCCAGTCCAGCCTGTTTCTCTAGATAGGCTAGTCTAGAGGGCTGGATCATACCAGTTTGGCCACCCGACCACAGGTCCAATAGTTGTCTGGTCCTATTTTAAAAACATTGACCTGATCACAACCTTACCAAGGATGCAAGGCATTTAGGGGTGACCGTGCTATTTCTCACGTACAATATGCCAATGACACTTTTAGTCCTTTGTGATGCTGACTCTATTCAGGTAGGTAAACCTTGTCTGTTTCTTCGTTGTTCCAAAGTCTCATGGATTTCAAGTTGAATATGATAAAGACGGTGATGTTTGGAATTGGTGTACCACCTGACTGGAAAGTGCTTTGGTTAAATGGTTGAGACCAGGTGTTGACAGGCTTCCTAGCAAATATTTAGGCCTCCCTCCTTGTAGAGGCACACTTCATAAAGCACTGTAGGATATGAAAGATTTGACTGAGGGCTTGGTGCTTGGAAAACTAGATTCCTTCCTTTTGGCTGGAGAATAACCATCATCAAGGCAAATTTAGCCAACGCTCCTCTATTCCAGATGTTGTTCTTCCAAATTCCAGCAGCTGTTTCTAATTGTCTTGTACGTTTGATGTGAGATTTTTTTTGGTCGGGAGCACGTGGCTGCCATAATTTCACTCAGGGAAGTGGTAACAAGTTTGCAAACTGAAAATAGGAGCTGGGGCATATGTAGCCTAAGAGCTGCCAGCACCGCCTTACTAGGAAAATTATGGTGGCGGTGTACAAACCAAGAGGGGCATCTTTAAAAGCAAGTTGTGCCACACAGATATGGTCTTGCTAGTCCCGCTGGCTGCCCAAGGGTGCTGCCAGTGCTTATGCTTTAGGGGCACGGAAGGGGATATCTTTGGTATACCAGTTTTTTCTTTCAAAATTCCAAAAAAAGTTACGGAGTTTAGAAAGGGGGATACAATGTGATTTTGTAAAGATTTTTGTGAGTTTGTGACTCCACTTTGGAGTTGGCCTACGCCAGACTGTATTCGGTTTCATGGGCCACAATGGTTGCCCATTATTATGAAAGTGCAGTAGAAGAGGCAGTATGGACCTGTCACACCCCAAGTTTACTAACATCCTTGAGGTGCGATAGGCTATTCTTATGCTATATATATATATATATAAAACAATATTCAGAATTTCTACTTATGTATTGCACCAAAATGGATTTTTCCATTACTAAAAATTTGTACAAGTTCTACTCACAACTAATATTAATAGGAAGGTCCATTCAGAAGTTTCCCAACTGTACAAAGTACACTTTCAACTTATGTTAACATGAAGGCTCATACATTTATAATTTTGATAGAACAAAAGTTACAAAAATATTTGATCCTGGTTACAATTTCTCCCAAGCTACTCCTGTTGTACAATGCATGATAAGGCTGCCATTACTCTGAAAAGAATTCACAACAGTTTGATGAGCTTGACTACTCAATAAGTGACCATCACTATCCAAAATTCATAATTGGAAAATGTAATAGTTTTTAAAGGAATGCATATTAAAACAATATGAAGAGGAACATACATGAAGAACAATTTTAAGTTCAGAAACACACAATTTAATACAATCCCAAGGATTGAGCTACATACAAACACTTTGACATAAATGCATAATTCAAGAGGTTTCACAAAATAACATACTCACGTCCCAAGTAGGTCACCTATATACCCCACCAACGTCCTAGATGAGTCCACTTAATCCTTGCAGGTCCAATCATACCTCACTGGAGTACCGGATGAGTCCACTTAATCCCTACCAACGTACCGAATAGGTCCACTTAATCCCTGCAGGTCCAATCATACTTCACCGGCATACCGAATAAGTCCACTTATTCCCTATCAGCGTACCAGATAGGTCCACTTAATCCCTGCAGGTCCAATCATACCTCACCGGTGTATCGGATGAGTCCACTTAATCCCTACCGGCGTACCACGTAGGTCTACTTATACTTAAATTATCTCTGAAACTCTTTAAACATCAGAAAACAGCAATATCATATATTTAAAATATCATTGAAA